TGATGCAATTTATGGTGGAACATCACCTTGAAATTGAAGAGGGCTTCTTGTGATTAGTAATTGTAAGTTCACTTAAGGCGAACATCACGTTCTTAAGGGTTGCATGGTTTTTCAAAGGTTTTCACAAAGCTTAATGAGTCTTGAATGTTTATATTTGATTTGAATATCACAGATGGGTTGCATGTTAGATATACGTTTTCGTTTGAACATCACGAGGAAAATATGCATTAGGAAAACCTAACCTTCAAAGCATGATGTAGAAATTCATAAGTAATTGGTAGGTGGAACCCTAGCCTTTTACAATTTGGTTTTCAAAACGTTTTCCTTTGTTTTCTTTACTTCGCTAATTTCTTTAATCTTTTTAATAAATTCGTTTTTATTATTTTTAAATTCAAAATCAACTTTTTCCAAACATTGTTCTAAATAATTAGCTAAGGATTAGTTTAAATACAAATTATTCATTCAATTCTTGTGGAAAACGACCTTGCTTGAACTTCTATACTACGACAACCTTGTACTCTTGCAAGTATTTTTTAAGTGTTTTCATCCCCACTTTCGCAGGTGGTAAAAATCCCTATCAAAGCCACATAATAAGGTAGTCGCAATAATTTGGTACTGAACTTTTTATTTATGAGAATTGAATTAAGACCTCCTATTTATAAGTGAAAATAAGTATCACTAAACTGGAACGCTAAATGCATTGAAATTTCGATACGCTTCTCACAAAAGTATTCCCACATAAAAAATAAAAAATTGAAAAAAAAAGTGTTTCTACAAAAACATTCAAACAGAATGGGCCAGTTAAAATCTTTCAAATGATTAGAAAATTAGGGATAATGGTACCATAGGCTTTCCAAGATGTTCTTATATGGTGGAGAATTCATTACTTCTTCTTGCCCGACTCTGTTAAACACATACTCACAGATTTTCTTGGTTGGACCAGACTCGGAACACTCATTTGGATAAGGAAAGTGTACACACTTAGTTTTACCTCTTATATACTCTTACTATTTTTTGTTATTGATCTTCTTCAATTCATTTAATCCGATAACCAAAAATTGAGAAAGATGTGTGATAAGTAAAAAGGGTGTACGGATAGCACCCTTAGATAATAATTCCAAAATTCGACCATCTAATTAAAAAAATTTAGTCATACGCTTCTTCAAAAAATTTCGTCAAATGATAGAATAATTTACACTAAATTTGTCTAAATTAAAGGATAAGAGAGTTTAAATCTATAACATAATAAATTGAAGAAAAATGGTATATCTATTAATACAATTTGCCATTTGACTTCAAAGTTAATTCTTGGTTTTCTCTGAGCTACTGAATGGTAGTTCTCACTTAGGGCCATATAGATGAATTAACATGAGCGGTGCTTTATATGCATTGCAGGCATCTTTATTCTCTTTTGTCATCAGCATATGTGTTTATTCTACATATAATGTGTTTATATATATGGTGAAGGAACTTAACTACGAATGTGTTACCGAATTTTGGCTTTAAGACTCTGGCTCCAGAGCTTAGATTGATTCTTTCGGCTCTGGTGCTTTCAAATGTTCCATTCATATGCTTGTTTGTTTGTACTTTTGAGATTCTAGAAGAAGTTGAGGTTATACCGTAAAATTAATTCAGAATAAGAGGAGTGGTCTAACATTTTATAAGTGATTGCAAAGCTTAGTCATTCTCCATAGTGTGACCTTACCTTTCACATCCTCATAGATTTCCCTTCACGTTTCGTGCTTGTTTGAAGAAGCACCTCTGCTCAAAGGGTTTTAGTTCAAGGACCATTGTCAAATAGGTTTTAATTGGGTACAGTACTGAAGAAAGTTGAGGTTTCATCATAAAATCAACTGGGCAATATGGAGAGTAATCCAGCTACTTATAAGCACATGAAATGTCCCTCCTCTCATCAATGTGGGATACATTCTCAACATGCCCCGATCTTTACGGATAGTGAATTTTCAAGCCTAACACGTGGACAACACAAACGGGATGACGTAGAGCACGTGTGGGCGTTGGGCTTTACATGTGGGTCATCCTGCTCTGATACCATGAAGAAAGTTGAGGTTCCACCATCCCTCCTCCCATATTGCCAATTGATTTTATCGTGGAACCTCAAATTTCTCCAAATACAACTATTGCATTATACATAAGTTAGTACATGCGTTTCAAAGCTGAACTCTACTCTACTGTTACAAAAGCAACCCCCCCCCCCAACAAATATTTCATGTTCATTGAGTTTGTGGTTATATTTTTGGATACAGCGATATATTTATTTACACTAAATAATGTGAAAATAATGTATTTTTGGTCAGAATGTATTTCTCCCTTCCGCAAAATAATGTGAAAATAGAAAGATTCCGGATGAAAAACAAACATTTCTGTGACTTGTGAGGTTTAATGATAAAAACATACAAAGACAGTCTTGGCATGAAATGCAAAATAAAACAGATTTTGTAAGATTGGATCTACTGGATGTATCTTAGAAATCGAAGGGGATTATAAGCTACCACGTCTTTGCATGCCAAACCATACGACCGCGTAAAACATAATCAACATTTTCTTCTTATTTTATTTACTTAGTATATATTTTGAAATACAATTTCACACCAACTAATACTGAGGTATTTTATGATAAAACTCACACTTGACGGATTCTACAGGCAGTAATTACTAAGTAGGAGACAATATATGCATGTTACAAAAGGAATATAATGAAATTTTGAGAGGAACGAATTAGCGGCTCACTAATAACTACACACACACATGTATTGTCTCTAAATCTTCATTTTATTACATATACGGTACGATATGGGGCGATGGTTTTATCATTAAAAATAAAACTTAATGTAATTAAAAGTAAAACTACGTAATATAAGTCTATATATCTTCAATGGTACGACCAGGTCTGATTTATCATTTCTTGATTGTAAGGATGTTCAAGTAATTCTACGGACATGTGGAATTTGTTCCCTACAAATTGAAATTTGATTTACTTTTTATATATGAGCGACAATCACCCTTTTAATGAAGTGAAAAATATCAAAAAGTCAAAAGAAAAGAAAAACTTTGCAGACCAAGTCACACAGCGACTAAGTTACTATTGAAAATGGATGGGGATGAGGAAAATCGAAGCTGACAATTCAAGCCTTCTAGTACTTATTCCATCTCCTTCACGGTAGCCCGGCCAGTATTTCACGCAACAAACCTATACACATGGCGGAATCTCAACTATCTCTGTGGCTTGTTTGTCAAAATTCAAAATCATGCGACTACTAATCAACCTCTCATGGCACTTTTTCAGTTCTCTTATTCTGGCTTTGCCATCACTCATATAGGTTGCGTAATTTATGGATCATGTTTATTAACTAATAGGCATGTACTACCAATCAAACAGATGTGACAACTATATATTCTACTCGGATGGAAATTAGGATTGGGCTAGGGATACAACGTGTCAGCTACTAATTACATATTGAACTCAAACAAATATAATACTTCCTTGTTATCTATGTGATTCGAATCTGAGTCCTTTCAATTAAAGAAAAATATTACTGAACCGTAGTACTAGTTGATTGGTTAATCGGACTATATAATCAATCAACTCATATATAACACTATTTTGTTCATTCACTTTATCATATATGAAAATGTGTCCACAAACCATTTATATAATATGGGATTAGTGGTTAAAACTGTGTGACAGTACGTTAACCCCATTAAAAAAAAGTATGTCTCTAACCATCCCCTTCTTTCTATATCCCCCATTTCTTCTATGTTGTTCTCTTATTTTTAACAAAAAAATAAGGGGCATTTAGATCCAGGTCCAAAAAAATCAGTTACTTTTGGATTGAGTCTAGTTAGATGTTCTTATCAGTTTAGGTCTAATTGATCTCATCTTATTCCCATTTTGCCTTTATAGTAAAAATAAATATATATTTAAATTTCCTAATTTATGCATTATTTACTCAAATTTGAATCTTCGAATTCCTCAGTCTAGCCACAATTTAAGGAAAAAAATTTAAAAGTGAGTTCATGTGTATGACTATAAACCCACGACTTAAGTTGAAATGAATGATATATAAAAAACCTATGAACAAAAACCTGTGATATAGGTAGACTATGAACAAAAACCTGTAATATAAGCAATGTACAAAAACCTATGGTATAGGTAGATAAATACTTTTAATTTGAATTAAAATATCAAGAACTAATGTGTGTGTGCACTATTAATCCATGGTATAAGGTAGATAGAACAAGATAACCTATGATACAGGTAGATAAACACAATTAACTTGAGATAGATTATCAATAATGTGTGATAGGTAGATAATACAATTTATCCATGACACAGGTAGTATAAAACACACAGAGGTATATTACAAAAAAAAAATGTGACATTTAATTGACTTGTACCAATATTTTCAGACATTTAATGATTGGTAGGTTGCTCTTGAGGAGGGTTGCCCGAAGGAGTTCGAGGACCAAGAAGAAAATTAGGTGTGGCTGTGCAGTCATTTTCAGGAGCCCGACTATGTGGTATTTTTTTTTATTAAGTCTAAAAGTATTATACTTTTCTTATTAATGTTTATTGATTTTTTTTATATGTCATTTAAATTACAACTAATACATTCATTCTGTGTATAACAGAATGTAACAACCCATTTCGGAAATTTCATTTTAATTAGTTAAAATTACAAAAATACCCCTAATGACGGAAAAGTTGACCTTCGTTGACTTTCGTCCGTTGACGTATTAGAATTTTTTGTTTATTTTATTTTCATAGCTCTCGTCGATGCGAATGCGTAGGCATGAATGGAACCGAATTCGGAGCTAAAATGACGCTTTTACAAATTTTTGAACGACAAGAGCATTTTGGTAAATTCACTAGTAAAGATATTTCTCCACTTTGGGCCTCTACATGGCTGACACATGGCATTTCCCCACCCCATTTATGGGGTGTTTTCTTCCCCACCTGTGAAGCCTCTCTCTAGAACACTCTTACTCTATCCTTGTCTCTCTCTCACCCACACCTCAAACCCTTTCCGAGAACAGCCACCGAGACCACCCTCACCGGCCTTTCTCCCTCCAACGACCCTTACACCACCACCATTTCTTCCCCTATGAGTTCTACGTGCCCAGAACGAGGAGAACCCCTTACTTCTCTCTCTTTCTCTCATTCATTGCACAATACCTTCACTGTGCAAAAAGTAAATCCGACGAGTTCTCGCCATTTTCCGATGAGGTAAGCTTGATAACAACTCTAAATATTCGTAGATCATGTTAAGGAGTAAATTTAGGTAGTTTTTGAAACATTTTGGTGACATTTGACGCAGAAACCAACTTGGGAATCATTCTCCTAGTTTTCCAACGAAGGATCATGAGTTGTAGGCCATTTTCCGGCTGATCCCGACCTGGATTTAATCTCATCTTGGTATACTCTTATTCTTTATCTTTGTATCTTCATTTTGAATTTTGAATAAATGAAAATGGTGTAAAATCAAGCTCGAATGGAGAACGGGGCGTTCTACTCTAATTCCGGCTGAAGCCATGGCCTGAAACCAGGTCGATCCGACCCATTACCCAGAGACCCAATCCAAAACCCGGCCCAAACTTTGTGCCTATATAGCCCAAGCCCAAACCAAAACCAGGCCCAACCTCTTTACCCTATAACATAGGCCCAAACCCAATCTTAAAACCAGCCTAAACCAGCAACCCAAGCCCAGATTTGACCAAGCCCAAGTTTGAAACCCAGTTCCACGGTAGGTGTGTGGGCATGCGTGGAGCACACGCGTCTCCATTGGAGGTACTGTTCTCCACGGTGGCCCCGTGGTAACGTGTGCGGCAACGGGTAGAGGTATCTGAGGTCCCTCATTAGGTTATTCAACGTCTCGAATCCAAATTCGTTGTCTGTTTTCCTAAATTCTACCGTTTTAGTAGAGTTTTATTAAATGGTCTTCATTTATGTTTAGGTGCATCGATTGGAAATGATTCAGTCCTCCCTAGTTCAAGCGGCTCTTTGGTAGTGGAATACTTGTGAGTGGATCCTTCTTAAATTGCATGTTTTTATAAAATATTAGGCTCACGTGCATTTCATATTTCATGGATTAATTACATTTTATGATATGATTTACAGATTGTTGAATTTATGCTTTATGAAGGATTTATGATTTATCAAAATTGTTTTTATACATATTGATGATTTATCGAATTTATGTTTTACTAAAGGTTATGACATATGGGATTTTCATATATAGAATTCTATGGCTTTACGAATGTGAATTATCTTGGATTTATGAAATGAGGCTTTGAGCTTGTGAGCTTCGGATTTGGATATGAGATTTTTGAGATATGTTTTTGGTGCTTATCTAGGGGGTTATCATACAGCTCATCCACATAACACGGGTATGTAGATGGCTATGGTCTTAGGGCACAGTTGAGGATAGTTATATATATTTCTTCTCCAGCGTAACCCGAAGTCGTACAGCTTCACCTTCGGGTGATGGAGCCTACCATGTTTCTTCACTAGCGTGATCCAGTGTTGTACAGCTTCACCTTCAGGTGATGGACAGGTACTGCCTTCGGGCGAATGAGGAGTTGATGATATTAATGATATACCATCAGCTTCACTAGCCCGGGGGCTAGTGTTAGTGTGTGATAATATATATTTCTTCTCAAGCGTAACTTGGAGTCGTACAGTTTCACCTTCGAGTGATGGGGCCTACCATGTTTCTTCACTGGCGTAAACCAGTGTCGTATAGCTTCACCTTTGGGTGATGGACAGGTACTGCCTTTGGGCGACTATGATACCCCTAAAGAGTACAGTATTGTTGAGATTTATATGTTTGCCTTCGGACGATGATATCACTGTTATTGAGCATGGTTTTACTCATACTTATTTACAAATGATTTCATGGCAGCTAGAGTTTTCAGAAAACTTACTATATGTAGTATTATATATGTTTTCAAAACAGGGGGCTAGTATGTTCCGCAATAAAATGGTTTTCCTATTATTAGTATTAATATAAATTATGGTCCACTCACCTTTTTATTTTGCGCCCCCTCAAGATATAATGAACAGGACTACGACCCGAGCATTGAGGCATTTCCCTACCAATGACCTTACATCCCTCGTATGGCCTCCTTTTATGATCATTGTTACTTAATGCCTGACCTTTCTCTGGCATTTTCATTTAGTGGTATGCTCTGAACATATCCACACATCTTTATTTAGATTTTTTATTGTTGGATACTTTGTCTTGTTCATGTTTAAATTGGATTATTGTTATAATTGCCTCTTCATGTTTATAAATTCCTTGTGATTATTGTTGTTGCCTAATTTTGGTTACTTATCCTTCCATATTTTTCGCATATTCATTCATTCATGGCTTTCGTCACCTTTGGGTGTCAGCCAGCACGTACCATCTAGGTGTCATTTGGACATATGGGTTGGAGCGTATCACAGAAGAAGGCAAAATCCAATAAGATCAATCAAGAGAAGAAGACTATTCTCCACCATTCGGGTTTGAGGCCCTTCTTATATAGGATAAAGACGCAGCAGCTGGAAATAATAAAGCTTTTCATATTCCATTTTTAATATGTCAATAATATTATTTTTTTTGTACTAACAATTTTCTTAGCTTGTTCTATTCAGGGGGGGGTTCAAAATTCTCGGAGATCCATTTCTTTGCAGACATTTATGTTCGACTTAGGGATGAGTTGGCTAAGTCCCTTCATGTAAGTATTCTTCAATTGTAATTACTATCTTATGCATTCATGTATCATGGCTATTATTTCAATGTTATTGTTAATATTTCATGTTATATTACACAGGCGACAATGATGGAGAATAGGCAATCGGTTCTTCAAGAGTCCACCTCTTAGCTTCCTCCCGAGACTCTGATTGAGTCTATAGATCCCCCCAAGGATGCGGGATTTCAAATACTTACAGACACTTTGGATCAGACTCTCGAGAGGAGGGCAGAGACGTATTGTAGGGGGATGGGGAATGCCCAGCGGCGGGAACCCAGAGAGTCTTCATCCTTGCAGTCGAAGGGCGAGGTCACATCTTTGACAACAGAGGTGGCCAGCCTTAGGACTAAGCTCACATCATATAAGAGCCATATGTCACTGATCATACAAGCCCTTAGTCAGTCCAGCATTCATCTCCCAGATATTTGTCCCCCGTCAACGTTTGAGCCGCTCTAACTTGAGCATGCCCAAAACTCCACCCCTTCGACCTCTAAGCCCGTCCTCAACCTTGAGACCTTCTTGCCCCAAGCTTTCCAATCGCCTGCGAATGACGACCTTGTAAATTATTCCACTTCTTTTCTTAGTTTTTTACTCCCGTACTTTTTAAACTTTTTCATTGTACATACATTTTATTTTTATTTTAAATAAATTATTTTTCTCTTCATTACATTTTTAATTGCAATTTTATTTTATTATTTTATTACAAAATTAAAACCAAAACAAAATAAATAAATTAAAAAAAATTGCAATTTAATTTTAGAGACGAAGATTAGTTGTCCCATGTATGTATCCTAGCATTTTGTGCGACAAATATAGCCAATCCTAAAAATTTTGTGTGATGAATGCAAAACCATTGCCCCTTATTGTCTGCTAGCAATGTCTTCATTTGTTGCGTGAAGTCCTTCTTCACGATTTTTGCACAACGCATTATGCGTGACGAAGTTTTCATCGCGCAAACGTTTGTGCGACGAAAATACGCTTTGCACAACCAATTTGTGATCGTCGCGCTAAATGTTAAACATAGTAGTGACAATCTCATTCACCTTAATCTCCTGCATACGTAAGGAACTCAACCCTAATAGGCGTGCAATGATGAGATTTAAAAGATAACCAAGTATAATAATCACACAGAACATTCTCATATATATATATTTCACACAAAAAGAATTAACACTCTGTCTAGATGAGAAAATTTAAGATTATTCAAGAATTTTAAAATGACGGAATTTTATTTTCTAGAATTTGTGAATTTTCTTATTTGATTAACCTAAAAGAATAATAAAATTTGAATACGAATTATGTTATTTTTAAACTCTTGCTCATAGAAATTTAAAACGCCACCTATTTCAATGGAATTTAAACTTGAGGATTGAAGGTCCCAAATTTCAAGTTTTTTTTCCAGGGAAAAATTTTAAATTTCTATTTTTATGAATCCAAACAAGAAAATTAATGTATGTCAATTTATAAATTCTAACTTCTGTCAAAATTTTAAATTTATTTCCCTAATCCAAACATAGTGTAAGGGTGAAATGTCAAGCATGCCTTTTTTATGTTAATTGAGTTTAATTAATCACTTCATAGTCATTGATAATATGGTAATTACAGATAAGTTTAATAATTTACCCCCACTTTTTGCTTTAAACATGCATAATGGGTCTGCAAAAATAATTTAGTATCAAACTCATTATTTATTGTGTTGAACATAAGACTTACAAGTAACAATGAGTCTAATATTCTATAACGCCTTGAAATGAACATTTTACATTACTTATTGCCCGAAAAGCTCTTTAATAAAAAGACGTAAAATATTTATCTTCATTGGAAAATGTAATATACATCTTTAGAAAGTGGACTACGTAACTTATGTTAATACAAGACTCTTTTCAAATCCATTATAAATCAATAGGACCCAATTTTCTGTATTAGACCCAAATAGATAATCCTTAAAAAAAAAACATAGAGGCTCTAGGACGAGCTCAAAGTCTCTAAACAAAGAAAGTACGGGTCGGCGACTTTAAATCAAGCACGGAGAGGCCTCAGACCGAGCACTAGCGTCCGACGCCGAGCTTAGAACACCGCTTTTAACCGCCACCGAAGACTACGTCATACATGATGGGACATCAAAGTCCAGTTAGGTACTTGTGTTCAAACTTGGATATGGTAATTGAAGAACTACTCTGCGACTGAAAAGTTGTAGCTTGTACGGTGTTCTCAATCAGAGTTTCGAGATTTTCAAGCGCTACAGCTTCAGATGATTTGACTGTTTTGAGCTCTTGCGTTGTAGACGGTAACTTTTCCTCGGTTGATTCTATCTCTGGTTCCATTTTCATAATTTCGGAGTTGATGCTTGCAGTCTCTTCGCAGACAAGCTCCTTTTCTTTCTTTGCAGCTTCTGCTTCTGTCTTGAGCTTGTCAAAAGTCAGAGATAGATTGGATGCGATAGATTTTGCTTTCTCTTCGGATGCAGATACAGTTTCCTACTTGACTTTTGCTCGGAGAAGCTTTGAGTTGAGATTTTGAACACTCAAATCCGATTTCTCTTCTGTCTTCCTTAACCGAGCTGTCTTGTCTCTTACATGCTTAAGCTCATTTTTTTACTGCAGCAAATTCTGTCTTTGCCGCCTCAATTTATTCGGTAACTGACTGTATCAGCTCTGAGCCTTCCAAGTCCTCTTTCCAAACCTGGGTTCTGACCGACTCAAGCTGTCAATCCTTTGAATCATTCTGCAACACATCCATATCAGATATTGTGACAGCTAACTTGGTTTCAAGCTCTTCCGAGTAATCAACCTCTTCAACAATATCTCTCATTTTCTTTCTGGTTTCTTCCACAGCCAATGAGAATTGATTGGCTTCCATTTCTCTCCCAGCTTCTATATCTCCAAATTCTCTTGCAGCTTCAATCCGGGCCAACTCAGCTAGCACTTGCTCTTCATTTGCTTCTTCAATCTCGTTCCTGATTGCTTCCACTGAACTTGTATAAAACATCATCTTTGCATTTGAGGCCTCAGTTTGCTTCTCTGCCCGCGATTTCTCTTCTAAAACCGACGCCATATCAAGCTTAAGCATGCTTAGTTCCTGTCTCACAAGTTCCAATTCTCTCATCACTTCTGTATATTTTTTATTCTCCGCATCCCCAATAGCCAATACCTGATATCCACGCCTACCTATGCGCCTTCTTCGTACAGATTGTTGGATTTTGTAAATCTTCTTCTGTTATCAAACTCTCCTCTAATCACATTCAGCTGTTTACCACTCTATTCATCATGCACCACAATTTCTGTCAATTTCTTCAAAAATCCATACAACTTTATTCTTCAAGTTTGAATAAAAATCTAAGCAAAAACTAGAATCTAATTAAACACACTTCATCAATTGTAAGAATTTCAACTATTTATAAGCACATGCAAGGTTCTTTTTTTCTCCGACGCGAGATTAAGACTCTCAACAAAATGCATGTAAATTCAGCAACTAAAATTAACAATCTTCATATATATATATATATGTATATATTATCCTTATATTCTGAGAGACAGAAAGCATGAGATTAAGATTTAAATAACTTCCAAATAATTGAGGTGCATAAGGGAGGGACTGTTATTTTTGGAAGAGTGATATTTTTGCTTCGAAGGCAGGGGCAGAGCAAACTTTGAAATTTGTCAGAAAGTTTTAACTTTTTCCCGATTTAAAGAGGGAAGAAAGCGAAAAGAGGAAGGACTGGCTTTGGTTCTGTCCTTATTCCAATTCCTGATGATTGACTGATATTGGAACTACCGCCACCCGCCAGACGCCACCAGCCACCCATCTATTTTATTCTTTTCTTCCCGCATTTTGAATGTTGCTTTCAAATATTTTTTACTTCACAACTTGTTTTTAATTTTATTTAAACTAAAATAAGACATACATCGTACATATTAATAATATTTTTATTTTAAAAATAAAGGTAAATCTCAGTTTACTACTTTTAAGTTTCGTGTTTTTCAATATTTGATATATAAATTTTTTTCGTCCTAGAATCATATTTAAAGTGTAAATTTTGAAACAGTCTTATACATTTATTAATCTGGCTGTTAAGTTTTTCGTTAATTGATGATATGGCATTCATATAAATAATGATTGGACCTCACTCACGTGAGTATTAAAAAATATATATATGAAAAAAAAAAAAAAAAAAAAACTTCAATCCGTCTTCTTCCAAGGACCAAACCAAAATCCACCTCTAATTCCACCAAGAACATCAATTGAAGAAGCTCAATCCCAAATCAATACCCTCAAATTCCACCAAATCCGCCAGCACATGTTCTCTAACCTTGTGTTCCTCTCCTCCGGACTCCTCGCTGTCGTCGCCCCCTCCATTTCCTGCAATCTTCTTTCTGAACGTCAAGATCTCGTTTTAGAGCTTCGAGATCTCAGAGTCGATCAGGGACTTGTGGAGGTGGACGGTCTTGGACACGACATTGGCGACCTCGAAGGAGAGAATGCTGATGGTCTGCTTCTGGGTTTTGGCGGCGGCGGCACCGACACATGGTGGGTCCTCTGCTTCAGCGCTTCGATTCTTCTCTCTCCTCGGGTGGCTCGCTAACCGGAGCTGCTCCGGATCAGTTTCAGATTCAGGTTCCTCAGATTTTGGGACCCCAGAAAGTTTTGATTTTATTTTTTTTAAATAATCGTGGGTGTTTGGTGGGAAGGAAAAGGATGTGAAGCTGCTGACCCGCAGGAATTCAAAGTTCAATTTTTTAATCGGAAGATTAAGGATTTGGGGGTGCTTGATTTGATTAATGGGTCTTACAGTTCATAACTCGTCACCAAAACGCGTTGCGTCACCGCCTTGATTTCTTTATTGCGTGATTTCTTTCTTTTGGTGTTGTCGTAGTCGTCGGTGTTGCTTACTGTCACAATCAGATCTGCGTTTGGTTTCTCAGTCAGACATTCTCGTTCCTGTCGCTTGGACTCTTTGTTCATCTGTTTGGTTGCCGAGAAATTACGAACAAGAAAAGGTGAGAAAAAATGTAGAATAAAACGTAAGTTTCAGTTCTTTGTCTTCTGGGTTAGCTGAATACATGCTTATTAGCGACATTTTACTTCTGTTTTGTATGATTTCGATTGCCAAATGATGGAATATCCAAGATGTAATCTTTCCCGTTTTGTTTTGCTTACATATGTCGGCAAGTGAGACAGCATATGGTTGTTGATATAACCAATCTATTGACGTTGTTCTTTTTTAGGTTTTTGCAAAGGGTGGAGGTGAAGAAGGTGGAGGAGAAAGAAGGGAGGGGAGCAGATGGGTGGGTGCAGAGGAGGAGAGAAGGGAGAGAGCGGATGGGTGGGTGCGGAGGAGAGAAGGGAGGGAGAAGGGAGGGAGAAGGAAGGGACAAGGGAGGTAGGGGTTGGGGGAGATGGGGGTGAGGTAGGAGACAGATTGGGTTTGCAGGGAAAAAGAAAACCTTTTTTAAATTTTTAATTTTTTAATATTCATGTGGGCTCATATTGATACTTGACGCTCAGTTTATTCACATGCATCACGTCATTAGTTAACGGAAGACTTAACAGCCAGACTAACAGATGTATCAAATTGTCTCAAAATTAATACTTTAGGTATGAATCTGGGATAAAAAAAACC